GTTGTTTAACTATTGATCTTATATTAATTTATTAATCACATAATAAACTAACAAATCAACTATCTATTTTCAATTAATATATTAATCATATAATCTATTAACAAATCATTTCCATATAATTTCCAATTAGTTTATTAATCATATAATAATCTAATAAATCATCATCTCTTTATAAATGTCATTATAATCAAGTTATAGTTATGAGTATAATCTAAAAAAGACTTTACTTCTAATCAGAAGAATATACCAATTTAATTATCAGCTTAAACACCTTAATCCAACATATTAGTATTTTCAAGACCCCAAAATCTAACAATATAGACAAAAAGTAAGACCCGGTGACTAAATATATACAAATAAAAAATATATTACCCTTTTAAATCATTATCCCAAAAATAAAGTCATTCCATGGTACATGGCTATTTGGAAATATAAGGATGTTTGGTATCAATTTTTAAAAACTAAGATTAAACTGTAGAAAAATACTTACCCGAGGAACCAAAACTGTAATTTACACAATCCTCATAATTTCCTTGTACGCATGCAATAACTTCTATTCTGAAGGGCTTAAAAGAAAATACATCGTAGTTCGCTGGGGGGAATATTGTTATACTACATGGACGCATTAGGGCACAAAATATCTTCATCCCCAAGCAAAACCCTTTCTGGCGTTCTGTCATCGTATGCGAACCGGAAAGAAATTTGTTCTCTAAATTGATTTTGATTCATATTTTCTTGTCATAAACTCTCTGAAATCTCTTTGGATAAGTTCTCCAATGGCTACAAGAAAGCTGGTGCGAGATTTATTTCTCTCTAAGCAGCCGCTTTATCGGCAAAGTTTAGCTTACAAACAGGTTCGTAGCTACTTAAATTGATCGTTGTTGTATTGTGTTGTATTGAAATAGTTTTAGTTGCCTTGGATTTGAGATAAGTTTTCTGTTAATTAATTTTGTTTTTCGGTTTTGATGTGTTTAGGTTTCCACATCAGCTTTGAGGTTAAGGTTACATGGAGGCGCAAATGTGAACTCTACGTATCGTGAATTCAGCGTGTTTAACGAGTTCTCGAAAAAGATTAAAGGCGAAGTGAACAGGTACTGTTCTTATTGATTTTTTAAACTTGAAGGTGGTATAAGTTTTTTATGTTCTAAGGATGAATTAGGATTAATTTAGTACGTTAATTTGTTCACCAAGAGATTGCGTTTTGAACCAGTTATTGATGAAAATATGTGGTGGATAAAGGTAGAGTGGTTGAGACCTTCACTTTATCAAATAAACAACCTGAAAACTGAAAACCTAAAACCTAAAACGAAGAAAGAAAAAGGAGCCCCATTGTTCTTCAATTCAACATGAAACAAAGAAGTGATGCACTTTCATATACTTTTATCTGGTTATAAAGTTGGCATTGCTTTTCTGATCAAACACTGATAATCCAGAGAGATTCCTCCATTGTGTTAATTTACCTGCTTTCAGAAATCAGGATTTCCAACAAACGGTCAAAGAGTTAAAGGAGAAGACTGAAGAGCTGAAAGGGGTGAAAGAAGACTTAAAAGTTAGGTAATTTGTACCAAAAAGCTTTCTTAATTTATAATTTTTGCTTTAGTTGCTTATAGGCTGAGACATACCGTTGTATGTCAAAGCTGGTAGACACTTCTAATGAAGGCCCTGAGATGGTGAACTGGCGAATGCAGAACGAAGCAGACAACTGAGCAGCTTTACAAGCGTGTGGATGGTGCATGGACTGAAGCAGAAGCTACAGCAAAGAAGGTTCCATAATCCATTCTCTTTCCCTCTTCAATCTTTTTATCATTTTTCTAATTTCTTTCACCAGAAATTTTTAATTGCAAGTTCTTTTAACCTGTTCATCAGGTATCCGAGAATCTTAAGGAGAAGGTTTCTGCTGCTACAGAAGAGGTCTGTAGACTGTGGATCTATTTAAGTTTGAACAGTTCTATTCTGCCATTTGAGGTTGGATTATGAACTTATAATAAGTTAATTCATGTTGTTACAGGTGAAGGAAAGTTTAGGGATTGGGAAGCAGGAGTCCACAGAATCCTCCAGTTCTTCTGCAAATGAAGCTTCAAAAGATGATGAGAAGTCAGCAGGAGAGAAGGGAGATAAGAAACAGGAATCTGGATATGGTGAGACAGCAGAAACAATATTTAGTAAGGTCAGGTCTGGTGTTTCTTCTTCCTTTCAAAAGGCAAAAGACGCAAAAGTCCTTGACTTAGCAAAAAAGGGTTATGACATTGTGAAAGATGAGCTGAATGGTAGCCCAAGTAAGAGGAAAAGAGCCAAAGCTGCTTCCTCACAAGCTAATGTTGAAAGAAGTACAAGAACAGATATTGCTGTTGTACCTGTGAAACAATCAAAATTCAATAAAAAGTGGGAGGCTTTCAAAGCAAAAGTGAGTCTTTTTTTGAGTGATTTTTAGTTTTTCTTTTATATCAAATCATCAATCAAATTTAATTTTTTGTATTCTGTAGATGCAAGGTCATCCGTTATTCAAGCGAGTTAGTGGCTTTAGCGAACCTGTTGTGACAAAAAGCCAAGAGGTATGATCATTTGCAATTTCACCAAGCTTGCAGGAGGGTATTTTGGTCTTTTAATAAAAAAGGATGTGTAGAATTGATGTACTTCTACAGTTCTACCCTCCCTTATGAATGATGAAATCCATTCAACATGAAACTTTGGAAGTGTTGTTTTGTTTTGCACGTGTGTTTAATTTCAAAAGGGTATTATGGTAATTTGTTCCTGTTCTTTTGTCAATTGGTTTCCAGATTGCAGAAGATATGCGGGAAAGATGGGAGACTAGTGATCATCCTGTAGTTCACAAAATTCAGGAGTATGCTGCTTCTCCTAACATATTTCTCACATACAAAGCTTTTGTTATATGATGCAAAAGGGGTAATATTGTATTTTTTTTTTGCAACAGTATCAATGAAAGTGTGTTTAGAGAGACAGATGCTGCAATGTCATTTAAGGAAATTCGTCGCCGAGACCCGTATGATGATTATGCATTTTGTCTTTTAAAAAAAAAAAGATTTATAAATTATAACCCATGAACTAAATATTTAAACTTTGTGTTTCTCAGATATTTTTCTTTGCCTGATTTTGTATCTGATGTCCAAGAAATTGTGAAACCAGTCCTCAAGTCCTACATCAAGGTAAGTTTGAACTTGTCTTTTAATCTTTTTTTCTATTCTAATATGGATTTATATTATATCTATTATTTATTTCACTTAATTTGAAAATCTATACATTAAAATTTGAAAATTTACAGGGAGAGACTGAAGTATTGGAGAAATATTGTTCCCCTGAAATCATTGAGAGGTGTAAAGCAGAGCAAAGGATCTGTGAGTCGCAGGGTACTTTTTATGATAACAAGGTTATAGAAAATATTCAAATAATTTGTTTTTATTTTATTTTGTAAAAGCATAATGACTTTACACTTTACCAATTTTTAATAAAATTGATGCAGATATTACATATATCTGAAGTGGATGTAAGAGAGACCAAAATGATGGGCGACACTCCCTTGATTATTGTTGGGGTATACTTGATACATGTTTTCACACCCAAAAGGGTTAAATACAAAAAATAGCAACATGTTTTGATTTTCTTTCAATTAAATTATAAAGAAATCAAAGTATATGATGCTATAATAAAATTTAAAAATAAATTGTTGTTTCTTGTTATACTTAACTGACTTTGGTTTTACAGTTTCAAACACAACAAGTGTATTGTGTACGAGATAGACTCGGTGAAATAACAGAAGGCGGGAAGGTACTTTTTATTTGTAGTTGACTTTGACTTTGACTTTGTTGATTTTGACTTTGACTTTGACTTTGTAGGATACAATCCACACGGTTCATTATTTGTGGGCAATGCAACTTGTGGAAGCGGAAGAAGGTGATGAAGGAGGACATATGCCAATTTGGAAGCTAAGAGATATGCAACAAGTTGGCATTCGGGCTCTCATTTAAAATCATCATAAAGTGGTTATTAATTTATATTGCGTTATTAATTCCTTTGGGGATACAGGGAAATTTTTGTTTCTATTTTTTGGTTTTGTTATAACTTCCTAAAATCCATCAAAGGAATGAGATTGAAATTCAACATATGATGAGTTCTTGCATTCCTAATGTTTTCATTTGAATAGATTTTGACATGAGAGCTTCATGTAATTTAGTAGCAAAAATAAGTTTTTTTTTTGGGAAAATGCTAACATACTCAAGATGTTTAAACATGTGTATTCCTTCGAAATATGGAAATACAACGGAATTGAATTTGTTTCCATTTTTCTATGTATTGTTGTTTGGTTTGTAAGCTATCCTTTTGTTAATTGTTTCTTCATAAAATACTTATTTGTATTATTCTTAAGGTAAAAAAAATACATATTAAAGAAAGTAAATTAAATTTTCAACACAATACTTTCTTAAAGAAAGTAGGGAACATATGTTTGGGTGTTATCAATCCATGAATTCAACGGTTTTGTGCAATCACCACATCCTATAAGCGGTTTCTGTTCAAATCAGGAGGGTGAGAATTATAAATAGCTTGACATAAAGAAGATGATGCAGAAGATTGAGAACTTATTTCTGAAGAAGATTTTGAAAAGGTTACATAAAAGTAAGCAATATATTCTTATGAACGTATTTTTCACAAAAAAAGACTTGTATTTTTTCACACCATCTTAATAAATAACATTATTAAAGTCATATATGGCTTTTAAAGCCACGTAAAACTTTTCATGAAAATAGAACAAAAATAGTCTATGCAAAACAATATTAGGGTTTAAATAGACAAAAAAAAAAAAAAAAAAAAAGGTTTTTATGAGCATTTATGTGTATACCTATTCTAGAATTTTCCAATATATTAGTTTTGACCCCAAATACCATGACAGGTTATGTAAGTTTACCCGTCACAAAACATAAATCTAAGCATAAAGTAAACATAAAAGTATATTATGAGTAGTGTAATCAAGCTTAGTTATATTAAAGCTTGAGTATTCAAATACTGCATTAGAAATATTTAAGTTGCTCTTAAATTTCGCAAAATCAAATACCCATCACGATTACAGTTATTTCAAGAAAACTCCTACCACAACATTTATCCTTCACAGTTAAATAAGTAACTTATTACAACGGAGGATTTACCTTATTTTACAACCAAAATCGAACACTAATAAAAAAAAAAAAAAATCACACCATCACCTTCCCAACAACACTTTCCTTCAACAAACCATACAATTTCCTCGTCTCCGCCGCCACACATTCCCGATCAAACACCGCCGAAACCACCGCCACACCTTCCAAATTCACCACCCCCAACTCCATCACCTCCTTAGCATTCCCCAAATTAATGCCGCCAATCGCCACCACCGGAATCTTGGAAGCCAAACAAACATCTCTCAACCCATCCAAACCAATCGTCCGGTTATTTGCCTTTGTGTTGGTCGGAAACACCCCTCCCGATCCTACATAATCAGCACCATCTGCCCACGCTTTTAACGCTTGTTCAGGTGTCTTGCATGACACCCCAATGATCTTATCGGGCCCCACAAGGGCCCGCACCGTGGCAACCGGCATGTCCGACTGCCCCACGTGGACCCCGTCCGCATCACATGCTAACGCGATGTCCACGCGGTCGTTTATTACAAGAGGGATGTTGTGGAGCCGACATATTTCCACACATGCTTTTGCTGATTCCAAAAACTCTCCCGTTTCCCCTTCTTTTTCCCTACACAGATAACAAATATCAGATACCAGATAACAGATAACAGATAACAACAGATAACAGTAAACCTGAGCTGAACAATTGTGGCACCGCCTTCGATGGCAGCTTTAACAGCGTCGGTAATGGAACGGCCCCATTTTTTATTCATATTGGAATCCGTGACAGCGTATAAAAAGAGGTCGCTTGGCTCAAACACTTGCATCCTACTTGAATTACACACACTTCTCTTTAGCTTTAACCCATGATCAAAAGGACCTTGAGATCCATTTCCAATATTAATGCTTTTGCTATACTCCAATACACTCTCAACATATCTTTTTGCTACCTTAACAGCTGACAACATTGAAGAACCCTTTGCCAGCTCAGCAGCTATACATGATGCCAATGTGCAACCAGTTCCATGTGTATTTCGAGTTTGTATTCGTGATGAACGCAACTCGTAAAAATCTTTACCTGAAAACAATTTTAAAAAAATGAAAAAGTTAACAAGAAGATGTATACAAGGGGCAAAAGAGTAATTTCTGGCATACCATTGAAAAAAATATCTACAGCGTCAGAGGAAGAAGGAAGGTCGCCTCCTTTCACAAGCACGTTTCTGGGAACAATACATAAAACTGAATAAGCTAATTCAATAGTCAATAGTCAATAGTCAATACAACAAATACTTTTATTAAAAAAAAAAAAAAAAAAAAAAAATACCGTGGGCCCATATCATGTAAAGATTTAGCTGCAGAGCGCATGTCACTAATTGTTTCTAATTGTATGCCACCAAGTAAAGCAGAAGTCTCTTTTAGATTTGGAGTCACAATGTCAGCCATAGGAAAAAGATCCTTCCTGAAATAGTTAATAAAGAAATCAAAGAAAGCATATTTAATGATATTTCTTGCATTTAATAAAATAATATAATTTTAGGTATTTTACCGAAATGTATCAAGAATTGAAGGTCCAGCAAGAACATCTCCACTAGTAGACACCATAACAGGATCAACAACTAAAGCTGCCTTTATAAAAGTTTGACCAAGTCAAATTTCAAAAAATGACTTAATCTAATTTCAATAAATGTGTCATACCTTGAACTGGATATTGCTTTAGACTATCTAGAAGGATCTTGACCATGGCAATTGAAGGAAGCATGCCAGTTTTCACCTAAAAGTTGATATCAATATTAAAAGAAAACATCTTTGTGAAATTTCTAGTGAATTACTTTTTACTTAATTAATATATAATTAACATAATCTTACAACATCAACCCGCATATCTGACAAGACAGATTTCAACTGGGCTGCAACAGACTCCTCTGAAAGAATGCTCACATCCTACAAAAGAATACTTAAAAGATATATAAAAGAAAGAAACATTTTCGTATTATACTAGAAAACTATAAAAAGAAAATTGGTTTTAAACCTGGACACCAAGGGTATTTTGGGCAGTTACAGCAGTGATGACAGTGGAACAGTAGACTCCTCTTGCAGCACAAGCTTTAAGATCAGCTTGAACTCCTGCACCAGCTCCTGAATCAGAGCCAGCTACAGTTAAAACATGGGGTGTTTTTTTGTTGTTGGAATCATTTGTGATTGTTAATGACTTTTCTTCAGGCATTATTGCTTTGAGAGTCAATGCACCAAATTGGTCAAACCCTTGTCTACCAGTTTGTTTTGAGATGAATGTTGTACATATCTGAGGGTAATCAATCAAAAAGTTAGGAAATATAAACATTAGATATAAACAGAAATCAGAAGTGATGAGTGATGAAGTGATGTTATGCAGAGTTGCAGAATTTGACAATCAGGTATCGGCAAAATCAGAAAGAGTGATGAACTGATGATATGCAGACTTTGGGAAAATCAGAACAAATTACTTGGGAGAACAGAAATCAAACAATTAAAAATTTACAGAAAGCAAAAGAAACTCAAGTAATCGTTAATGGAATAGAAAGGACTTAGATGAGAAAGAAATTACTGAGCTAATCACTATCATCGATGCTGAGATCGATTGAGGACTAATAAGTGACTCAGTTGTGGTAATAAGACGTAGAGAGACCAACGTTTTAGGGTTAAAAAAGCAATCGATTTAACCCATTAAAACCCCACGTCGCGAGTAAAACCAGATTACCCTTCGAATCCACAGTTTTCAAACATTTGCAGCTTTCTACTACTAGGGTAGTGTTGGGTTGGGATATATACATGTTCGAAGTATTTATTGCAATTTAAAGAATTAGAATCAGTTGAAAAAAGCCATGGATGATCAGATAATTTTACATTTATCTCACTAATCAGTTCTCTTGCTCGCTGTAAATCTGGTTAATTTTGAAAAATTCAGAATCATAACTACAGTTAACAGCATGAGAATCGCG